GGGAAAGAGAAATCATCCCCCTAAGGGGGTATGACCACATTGTGAGCCCTTCTCCAGTCTCCTTTTTGGATTTTGAGCATACTCGCGCACACACACACCTTGGTATAACTTCAAGCTACTGAGTCTGGGACTGGAATGGCACTGGGATCCAACCACCTTAATCTCCACACCACCTGTTGGCCCCAGGTCAAGGTTATCTTAAAGAATGGCATAGTCTAACAGAATAGATTCCAGATAAGCTGGGAATGAGTGACATCACATCCTCTCCTTACCACACAACTGCATCTGCACATTTGTGAAGATAACACACAGGCATAAACACAATGCTTCACCTGGTATCTCCTCATCCCCAACTATGTGGCTAGGGGGCCCTGCATTCCCTGGCACAGCAGGGTTGTCCCGCTGGCTTGGGTGATCAACACGAATAGAGAGGACTCGCAGCAGGGGCAGGGCTCGCACGATGGCGCGTGTCAGCTCCAGGATGGGCAGTGGTGAGAACAGGTCACTGAGATGCAGGGCACGGAGGCGGCATCCAGCCTGGCCTGACAGGGCCCGCAGGCTATCCAATAGGCGAAAGATGTTAGAGCCCAGTCCTATGGTAGAAAAGAGAGATTAAGTCAGTCATGTGGGAATGTCAATGGGTGAGAGTGACAACTCCAAACATTATTACTGAATCTCGAGCTTTGGATCAGATGATTATTTAGAAACATGTTTTAGACTATTCACCCAGTATTGCTTTTTCTTCAGGTTACCAGTAAACTACTGACTACTACAGGGGTCATGCCCTTAGGAAGCAGTGGTTTGGGGCAATAATAGTATGCAAGATAGGATGCAGCAGGGCATTGTGCGGCTACCAGATGAATGACAGGCCCAGAAAGCAGCAGAGGCCTCAAGTTCTGGGTGCTGAGTAGCTTCCTGAAGAAGCTGGGCCTTAAAAAATATTCTGAATAGATGACAGTTACAGGTCACAAGAGAGTTGCAGAGGCTTGACTGCTTAGATGTGGGCTTAGGAAAGAGAGCCATAGATGGCAGGGCAGTGGAGTCTTTGTAGAAGGTCCTGAAAGCTGTGTTGTAGAGATGGTTTCATCTGCAGATCTTGGGGAACACCTGAAAATAGAGACACTGATCCCATAGAGAATGTGACAACCACATCCCATTGAAGAGTAGTAGGATCAAGAAAGGAAATGGCAGAAGCTTAATACCACAGACATAGTTCCTTAGAACCTATTCCCTCAACTCCCTTTGGACTGCAGGCTCCTAGACTTATTCAACTAAACTATCTAGCATCTACTAAAATTTTGCTTCACACTAGTAAGCACCACATGCTTCTCTTGCCCTATACAGCCTCGTGAGAACCTGATGGGAACTGGAAAAGTAGAGTAGTACGTAAGTACAAGGGATACCTAACGCTTAATCCAGTTTACATCAGTAAAATCTTTGTAATTGAGTCCTAAAGAACACAAAGGGCATTCTTAAAGAGAGGGAGTAGTGTATCAGAACAAACTTGGCACCTAGGGGCTTGAATGAGAAGAGTGACCAATTGTAAGTGGAATATAGTCAGCATTGCTAATGTGTAAAGTATAGGGGGCAGGAGTATTAAAGATATGACTAGAAGATGAGAACATGAACGAGGTAAAGTTAAGTACAGTGGAGTCAGGTGGTGGCACAGTAGTAAAGTGTGATGCTCTGTGGGGCAGTCCATGTAGGAC